AGGCACTCCTAAACTTTTAGAAGACTCACCCTTACTTTTAGATGACTCACCCTTATGTTTAGAAGACTCACCTTACTTTTAAAGGACACACCCTTACTTTAGAAGACTCACCTTACTTTTAAAGGCACACCCTAACTTTTAGAAGACTCATCCTTACTTTCAGATGATACACCTTTACTTTTAGATGAAACGCTACTACTTTTAGAAGACACACCCTTACTTTTAGATGACTCACCCTTACTTTTAGAAGACTCACCCTTACTTTTAGAAGACACACCCTTACTTTTAGAAGACTCACCCTTCTTTTTAGATGACTCACCCTTACTTTCAGGTGACTCACCCTTACTTTTAGAAGACACACCCTTACTGTTAGAAGACTCACCCTTACTTTTAGAAAACTCACCCTTACTTTTCGATGACACACCCCTACCTTTAGAAGACTCACCTTTAATTTTAGAAGGCACACCCTTACATTAAGAAGACTCACCCTTACTTTTAGAAGACTCACCCTTACTTTTAGATGACTCACCCTTACTTTTAGATGACTCACCCTTACTTTTAGATGACTCACCCTTACTTTTAGAAGAATCACCCTTACTTTTAGAAGACTCACCCTTACTTTTAGAAGACTCACCCTTACTTTTAGATGACATACCCCTACCTTTAGAAGACTCACCCTTACTTTTAGAAGACACACCCTTACCTTAAGAAGACTCACCCTTACTTTTAGAAGACTCACCCTTACTTTAAGAAGGCACACCCAAACTTTAAGAAGACACACCCTTTCTTTTAGAAGGCACTCCCTTACTTTTCTATGACACCCCTACCTTTAGAAGACTCACCTTTACTTTTAGAAGACACACCCTTACTTTTAGAAGACTCACCCTTACTTTTAGAAGACTCCCCTTACTTTTAGAAGGCACATCCAAACTTTTAGAAGACTCACCCTTACTTTTAGAAGGCACCCAAACTTTTAGAAGACTCACCCTTACTTTTAGATGACTCACCCTTATGTTTAGAAGACTCACCTTTACTTTTAAAGGACACACCCTAACTTTTACAAGACTCACTCTTACTTTTTAAGGCACACCCTAACCTTTAGAAGACTCAACCTTACTTTCAGATGACTGACTCTTACTTTTAGATGACTCACCCTTACTTTTAGATGACTCACCCTTACTTTTAGACACACCCTTACTTTTAGAAGACTCACCCTTACTTTTAGAAGACTCACCCTTACTTTTAGAAGACACACCCTACTTTTAGAAGACTCACCTTACTTACTCACCCTTACTTTTAGAAGAATCACCCACTTTTAGAAGACTCACCCTTACTTTTAGAAGACACCCCCTTACTTTTAGGTGACTCACCCTTACTCTTACACGACTCATCCTTACTTTTAGAAGACACCCTTACTTTTAGAAGACTCACCTTACTTTTAGAAGACACTGTTACTTTTAGAAGACTCACCTTTACTTTTAGAAGACTCACCTTACTTTTAGAAGACACACCCTTACTTTTAGAAGACTCACCCTTACTTTTAGAAGACTCACCCTTACTTTTAGAAGACTCACCTTACTTTTAGAAGACTCACCTTTACTTTTAGAAGACTCACCTTACTTTTAGAAGACTCACCCTTACTTTTCGATGACACACCACTACCTTTAGAAGACTCACCTTTACTTTTAGAAGGCACATTCTTACCTTAAGAAGACTCACCCTTACTTTTAGAAGACTCACCCTTACTTTTAGAAGGCACTCACAAACTTTTAGAAGAGTCACCCTTACTTTTAGATGACTCACCCTTATGTTTAGAAGACTCACCTTTACTTTTAAAGGACACACCCTTACTGATAGAAGACTCACCCTTACTTTTAGAAAACTCACCCTTACTTTTCAATTATCAATTAAAGTTGATTAAATAACAAGACAACTTGATTAAATAATCCTACAATCAGCACCATATTTTGTTTCGTGGACGTGATTGGTAGTTGACTTAAATCTAAAATTTGAATTTGTTTCCCAATGAAATTTCTGAAGTTGTAGGTGAGAATCGTACGTCATAGGTTCGAGGTTCATTCAATGCTGTTGCAAAATAAGCATGATTGCTATTTTGAAATTTGATAAATTGTCGTTCGTCACGTGCACCATTCACGTTTTTTATTTGAATGATAGAATAATACAATCGTTTATCCAGAAAAATAATATGATCGTTTGCTACTTGTATTTCCTTATAGTTGTTATCGCTTCTCAAATTTAAAGTATAGGTGTCGGAACCATCTTGTGTTTGCAAATCAAAGGTGACAATACCTTCTAAAAAATGATTGACACGTTCGGGAATAACAAACGTAATGGTAAGCGTCGTATCTGCAACAATGTACTCGTTGTATACATCCGTGTACACTTCGTAATCCATTTTCAAATAAACTCTTAGATGAGGTTGCGGATCTTCGTCGTCGCGACATCTTTCCGGGTCCATGTATCCTATACCAAACGTAGCATGGTCCAAAACTTTGACAAGATGAGGAAATTGTTCACCGCATATAGTTCGCTATTCTCCGCGCAATGCTTCTATCATAGCATCATCTTCTGGAAAAATATGTGTTTCGGGAAAAGAAACCATAGAACATCCTTCTTGTTCCAATCTGTTGAATAATTTCAACATGGGTGCAGCCATTCTATCATAACTATCGTAATCAAATCCTTCGTCATCAAACTCGTCGTCGTCATCCTCGTCCATTTTCGTCAAACGTTCTCTCTCATTAGGTTTTCATCATCATCATCATCATCAGGTAAACCCTCGCGTTTCCTTCGTCGTTTTCGCGTTCCTTACGACGTTCTTCCATACCTATTTTATATCGTTCTTCCATAGTCGTCTTTTAGGTTTTTGGACCGTCCAACCGAGCTTTTTCCGCCTCTTTATGTTCTTTCTCAATTTTCATTTTAACTTTATTCATTTTTCTAAAACGGAGGTAGTCGTCGACAAAGGAGTCAATCGTCATGTATTCGTTCATGCGAAGAGAATGAATATTGAACAGAGAACAATAGGGATACTTCCAATCTCCTGCATCCTCGTCATACTTGTAATCGATGAGACACTTCAAGTTGACATCCAAATCTCGATCAATCTTCTTAAATCCAGTCAAATCAATGGTTTCACATTTTCCGTAATGAACTTGCAAACATTCTCGGCTAGCGCAAGGTGCAAAACAAATGTCGCATTTAGGTCTGTATGCCGCATCTTCTTGACATTTCGTACGCCAACAAAACGGACATTTTTTGGTGTCGCAAGGATGCGTGTTGAACGGCTGTTTAGGGAAAGATCTCATGCATCTCATGCAATATATTTTAGAAAATGCATAACATAATTTTCTATGTCTGAAATCAATTTTGGCAACATTGTACTGTTTTCGGAATTTTGAAATAAGACGTATAAATTCTATCGTAATCCTCTCCCGCTTCTCCTTTCGTGAGGGAAAAGTCTGACTCTTCTACGACGTCGGCGAACTCGCCATCGCTGTATTTGTCTCCGTCGTTCATCACGTCTTTGCCAAAATTGTCTCGCTGCTTCGGGTATAAGTTGCAACGATGCACGAAACTCTTCCCTATGTTGCGCTTGGGTATCTTGTATTATACCTATTCTTCTGGAATTACGTCTACGCGTACGTTCGCTTTGTCGTTCTGATCTTTTCTTACTCGATTCATGCAAAGATACTCTTATGTTATCAAGAAACAGATCGTGGAAATTTTGTATGGATTGGAAACGTTCACCTTGGTCTTGAACGTCAATTAAATTAAGTAAAATGTTCACAAAATCACTCTCGAGCCAAGATAAAAATCCCGAAAAATGTTCACCTAATGTGGCGTTACTCGTGTCCGAACACTAAAAATAACGTAACGTGAACCCTGATAACCGAGTCCGGATAATGTTCTTGTATATAAGAATATAAATATCTATAAATTAGCCTGAAATAAATAGGAAAATCTGTTTCCCTATACTCGTGAGGTTCAAATGTAAAATCTTTCAATATATCTCTCCAGCCTTCTCGCTCGCGAACCGACAAATAGCGAAACAAATTGTTGGCAGCCAGTTCCATTCAATTCCTGAAAAATGAACAACCATACTCGTCAACAACTTTCAAATTAAATACTAAATACGATGTAAGCTATGATTTAAAGAACACACAAAAAAATACAACTGACTTTAAGCTATGAATAAATTTTAATAACCAATGACGTAACGAAACTTTTAATCAGTTATAATATGCACACTAATTTGTATATTATGAAGCAACCATTACATCATTTACATAATTCAATCTGTTTTTCAGTTTTTTTCAAACAATGTTCCAAGTTACGTTTAAAATCGACCAAATATTTACGTTTCATACAATTTTCAGCTTCGTAATCTTCCATGTGACCAAAAAACTCGTTTGTATTATCAAGCACGTTATCAATACACTTTTTTATCTTCTTTCTTACTTCACTAGTTTCTTCATTATTCGAATTTGTTGTATCATCATAATAGCACTCGTCATTTTCCGATCGCACGCAACGTTTTTGCTTGAGGAGGTGTTTCAGAAGATGTTTCTTTTCGCGACGCATCTCTTTTCTAATCTGTCTTATTTCGTTTGCAGCTTGCGTTTGATTTATTGCAGAATGTGTTTTAGAAGGTGATTGAATATTTGAATCTGTATCAGAATTTTCTACATTTGGTGATTCAACTGTTCTCACTTCTCCGTGGTTTGATTGTAAAGAGTCGTCTGTTGCAAGGGTGCAGATGGTGTAGATTTAGGATATGCAAGGGGTGTAAGAGATGTAGGGTTGAATGATGTAGAGGGTGTAGAGACGTAGTCTGTAGGAGGTGTAGAGACGTCATCTGTAGGGGGTGTAGGGTCGTCTTGCGTTGCTGTTTCGTTGTTGTTGTTGTTGTCATGCGTTTCTTGTCGCTTGGATGATTTTTGCTTTTGATTTTTCTTTCTTACCTTTATTTTTCTTAG